GATGCATGTTAATTTCTTATGATGTAAATTAAATGCATGCTAATTAAAATTGATATTTTTGCTCAAATAAATGCAAAGGACGTGTATATGATTTATATCATATTTATTTGGATTATTAGATATAAATATTATTTACATTATCCTTGGATTAGAAACTTTTATTTGGTTATATTATGAATTAATGCACCATTATGGGATGAGGGCATATTAGTGATGGATTAACTTAAGAGTTAAGTCCTACCTATTTTTAATAAGGGAACGGATTAACCATAGTGTTAAGTCCTACTTATTCGTGTCAGATCAACGGAATAGTTGGATGACATTTTATTAAAATAATAATTAGATAGTTTATTTTGATGGTTGGATAGAACGGATTTTAAATATATAATTATACGCCATGATATGAGCTTGAGTCTCAGGATCAATGATTAGGGTGCGTATATTGTAAGGGATGTGTAGCTAGAGATAGTGTAGTTGTGTACCCTGGTAGGTCTAGGTACTTATGCCCACTATATGTGCATTTTTGCATGTTGCCTACTATTCAGGTTGAGACAACTCTATAGTCTAGTGAGGTTCCTTTAGTGTGTATATATCTATATATGGACTATTTAGTTATTGTTGAATTAATTAGGATGTGTATGTATATCGGGTCTTTGTTTGGGATGTAGTAGATTAGAACTTGTATATGGCCTGACCCACCATTATTTTTCAGGTGTTCGTCAGTTCCAGTTTAGAGATTGTTCGTGCCGAGTAGAGACAGTCATTCACTCTTCCGACTCTACGTAGGACACTTCTACATGGTTTAATTATTAGTTTTTATTTCAGTTTAGTTATGTCAGTTAGGATATTATTAGGGGTCCACATTATGGATTCTCGAGTTGTAGTTTAATTAACAGTTGGTATCAGAGCACTCCAGGTTCAAGTGTCTCTAGGGATCTATCGTTTTAAGACTTCCACGTAGCGTATTCTTTTATTTAGAGCCTAAGATTAGGATTCGTTGTATTATTTGCGATTCGGTTAAATCATATTAATGTCTGTCTTTCTATGTTAACAGAATGGTTAACGCTAGAAGAAAACGGGACAATCAAAGAAACAGGCAACGAAGGGAGGCGGCCCATAGGCAGCGTCAGGAGGATGAGGGTTAGTTCTATGAGGAGCATGAGGAAATTCAGCAGACTCGGGATCGGGGAGGAGATCCAAAGTTTCCTCCTCATATCAATGACCTTATTGCTCGGGCTATAGAAGCAGGGGTAATCGGTGCACTTCGGAATCAACCTCAGGTACAGCCAGCACTGTTACCAGCACCGGTTGTTCAGACTGATACTTGGGAGAAGGCTAGGAGTTCTTTCACAAAGGGGAACCCACCTGAGTTCACAGGCTCCACCGATGCGAGAGCAGCTCATCAGTGGAAACAGGACATCGAGCGACATCTTCGCTTGGTTCAGTGCACGGAGGTTCAGAAGCAGATGTTTGCTACCTTCAAGCTAGTTGGGGATGCACTACAGTGGTGGGAGTCAGTTACCACCGCAGAGGAGAGGATGGCATTGACTTACGATCAGTTCAGTGCACACTTTGATGAAAAGTATTTCCCTTATGCAATCAGGGCAGCCATGAAGACTGAGTTTCTTAATCTGCAACAGGGGAACATGACAGTAGCGGAGTATGAGCAGCAGTTCACACGCTTGTCTCTCCTTGCACCAGAGGAGGTGGATACAGAGGAGAAGAAGTACAACAGTTTCGTTAAGGGACTGATATGGTCTATCAAGAGAAAGCTATTATGGGTAGTCCAGCCTATACTACCTATGCTCAAGTGGTAGACGACACTCTACAGTAGTATCAGTTGACCGTGGATTTCAGACAGGCTAAGGGTGAGAAGCGGGGTGACAGAGACTCTACTAATCAATCAGCTGATAAAGGGAATGGGAACGGACACCGACAGAATGACAAGGGCAAGTTCCAAGGACAGCAGCCTTGGAAGAAGTACAAGGGTGGTTCAGATGCTCCCAGGGATGTGGCACCTATTCAGCGACAGCAGAATGGGGGACCACAGGCAGGACAGGGTTAGCCACTGGCTAACCGACAGAGGAGGTCATTTGGTACTTTTTAAGGTAGTTGTTACACTTGTGGAGAGTATGGTCAAACTTTCAGGCAGTGTCCTACAGTGAGACAGGGACATGGACAGCATGTGCAGCTGGGGCAGAGGGCGCTAGTGCCTTTACCAGCTCCACAGGTTCCACGGATTCAGGGACAGACATATCTGGCTTTACCAGCGCCGCCGCAGCCTCAGGGACAGGCACTGTAGTAGTTACATTATGGCAGGGTGTACAACCCCATGCCACAGAATATGCAGGCACCTCAGACTGTTGAGGGTAAGTTTCCTATTCATGATTTACTTGGACGTGTTTTATTTGATACGGGTGCTATACACTCATTTGTAGCTAGGTCATTTGTTGTTTTGTCTGGGATGATGACTCGGGTATGCAGTAGACCACATGGAATTTTTACACCGTTAAGCAATACAACCATTCTTCATGAGAGTGATGGGCCTGTGACATTAGATATTGGTAGACTCAAATTTCTAGCCAATCTTTTGGTCCTGGATATGTACACTTATGATGTGATACTTGGGATGGATTGGTTATCGCATTACCATGCCCAAGTTGATTGTTATGATAGGTCAGTTGTTTTCACCATACCTGGTCAGGACATGTACGTCGTCGCTATGCCGCATTCTAAAGGGTCACTAGCACCTATTTGTTTCATATGGAGGAGGAAACGGAGGAAGGGACTACTGTATTATTGGATAACATACCAATTGTACAAGATTACCCGGATGTATTTCAAGAGATTCCAGGGTTGCCGCCTAATCGTGAGATCGACTTTGTGATAGACTTAGCTCCGGGCACTACGCCTATTGCTAGGACACCGTATAGGATGGCACCAGTGGAGATGCGCGAGTTGAGGGATCAGATTCAGCAGCTACTCAGCCAGGGTTTCATTCGCAGGAGTACTTCACCTTGGGGAGCACCGATTTTATTTGTGAAGAAGAAGGATGGTTCGCTCCGCTTGTATATAGATTATAGAGAGTTGAACAAGGTTACTATTCGTAACAAATATCCTTTGCCCAGGATTGATAACTTGTTTGATCAGTTGAAGTGAGCTACTTATTTCTCTAAGATTGATCTGCAGTCTGGATATCATCAACTTCGGGTTTGGGAGCAAGATGTTCCGAGGACAGCGTTTCTCACTAGATATGGATCTTATGAGTTTCGGGTGATGCTATTCGGGTTGACTAATGCACCAGCGGTTTTCATGGATTTAATGAACAGAGTTTTCAGGACTTACTTGGATCAATTTGTCATTATCTTCATAGATGACATTTTGGTTTACTCGAGGTCAGAGGACAATCATGCTAGACATCTTCGGATAGTCTTACAGACGCTTCGTGAGCACCAGTTGTATGCCAAGTTTGAGAAATGTGAATTTTGGCAGCGGGAAGTGAAATTTCTGGGTCACGTGGTTTCAGAAAGGGGAATAGTGGTGGATCCAGCCAAGGTTTCAGCAGTGGTTGAGTGGGGACAGCCTACATCACCTACTGAGATTCGGAATTTTCTCGGTTTAGCAGGATAAATTGTTTAGATTTAAATTAATTTAATCAGTACATGGGGATGTACAATTTAGTTGAGATGCATGTTAATTTTTTATGATGTAAATTAAATGCATGCTAATTAGAATTGATATTTTTTCTCAAATAAATGCAAAGGACGTGTATATGATTTATATCATATTTATTTGGATTATTAGATGTAAATGTTATTTACATTATCCTTGGATTGGAAACTTTTATTTGGTTATGTTATGGATTAATGCACCATTATGTGATGGGGGCATATTAGGGACGAATTAACTTAAAATTTAAGTCCTACCTATTTTTAATAAGGGAACGGATTAATCATAGTGTTAAGTCCTACTTATTCGTGTCAGGTCAACGGAATAGTTAAATGACATTTTATTAAAATAATAATTAGATAGTTTATTTTGATGGTTGGATAGAACGGATTTTAAATATATAATTATACGCCATGATATGTGCTTCAGTCTCAGGATCAGTGGTTAGGGTGCGTATATTGCCAGGAATGTGTAGCTAGATATAGTGTAGTTGTGTACCCTGATAGGTTTAGGTACTCATGCCCACTATATGTGCGTTTTTGCATGTTGCATACTATTCAGGTTGAGACAACTCTATAGTCTAGTGAGGTTCCTTTAGTGTGTATATATCTATATATGAATTATTTAATTATTGTTGAATTAATTAGGATGTGTATGTGTATCGGGTCTCTGTTTGGGATGTAGTAGATTAGAACTTGTATGTGGACCTGACCCACCATTATTTTTCAGGTGTTCGTCAGTTTCAGTCTTAGAGATTGTTCGTGCCGAGCAGAGACAATCATCCACTCTTCCGACTCTACGTAGGACTCTTCTACATGGTTTAATTATTAGTTTTTATTTCAGTTCAGTTGGATATTATTAGGGATCCACATTATGGATTCCCGAGTTGTAGTTTAATTAACTATTGGTATCAGAGGATTGAAGGATTCTATTATGGGATTTTTAATTATTATTTATTTGAGAATTTTTGAAATAGGGATTTATTATTTAGTTTCCTTCAGCTTATTATTTATTTATTTATTTATTTATTATTCTTTTTGTATTCAAATGCTTATCTAAATATTAATTGTTTGATATACCTTGCATTCTGTACTCGGATTTGATCATCCGTGACTCTAGAATCTAGGGGTATCACGTATATATATGTGTATATATATGTGTATATATATACACACGCGTGTTAATGTGAATATTATTATAATATGATAAAACATTCGCCCCCCTCGTCCGCTGTAATGTTGCAGGACAGGTGAGGGGAGTGGTCACTCTCAAGCTCGTTTCACCATAATGGCAATTACCCTATCACCTGCACCCCTCTATCCTAATGCTGCCAAAAGCCCTCTCTCTTCCTCCCTCATGAAACCTTAACCTGGTCTGCCCTCATCTCTGAACAACCAACCCTCCCTCAAGAACCGGTTTTTCACCTCCCCAAAATCAAAACCGGCCCGGTTTCCTATGACCACTTTGAACCGCTCACATCTCTTTCTTTCCTTTCCCGGTCCAGCATTTCCTGCCTGCCGTGGGCACTACTGAACCCACTTTAATTTTTATTATTGCCTTCCCTACTCAGCTCTGATTACCACTTTGGATCCTATCCCTCCTCTTCTTTCTTTTTTTCTTTTTTATTTTTGCCCCTCTCTCTCTCTCTACCAACTCTCTCTCTCTACCTATATTTATAGATCCTTAATATATCTATACATACAAGCATATGTTTAGTACTGTTGTCATTATGTATATAGCTTAGCTAGAACCCACCGTCTTCACATTAGAGAGAGAATATAAGCAAGAGTACTTGCTTGCTTGGTTTTTCATTTCTTCTATATATATATATCTACTTGTGCTCTAGCTTCAATTTGTTCATAGACATGTCGATGAGCTGCACAGATTATGCTCCCGAGCAACTCTGCTACATCCCTTGCAACTTTTGCAATATTATTCTAGCGGTAATTCTATCCTTCTCGGTGGGACTAATTCGCTTTTGGAATGTTATCCACCCATACTGATCATCATGTATATGTATATGTGTGTGTATATGTGGTTGTATATATATATGTGCGTGTGTATGTATATCTAGATCTGTATGCTTGTATGGTTTCTTTAATTTTCATGTATAGTTGGCAAGAAAGAACATGGTAGATCCTGAATAAAGCTGCAGTTTGGTTGTGAGATCGGGTTATTTGGTTTTATTTGGCTAGACTCCATTGATTTTCTTTCTGGTTTCTTGTTTTTTTAACAGTCAGGTCTCCATCGTTAGAGACTTTCTTCTTTTCCTTTCTATATATTGCAGTCAAAGAAAGTATTACCTGGAGGTCCGAGAGAGAGATCAGTGTTTTCTTTTCTTTTTTAATTTTCCGGTAAATTAGTGTGTTGTTTTCTCATATATGAGGGGATTATTTAATGTCAAAACAATTATTTGTTGATAAACTGACGAGAGAGAAAGAGAAATCATATATATATATATATATATACTAACTACACCTGAGTGTTACTAAAGGTAAAGCTTTTGTGGCACTTTGGAGTATAGAAAATGAAAGATCTGAGTTGGGTTATTTCTTCGAAATTTGAACAAGCTAGAAAGAGATAGGAAAATCTCAGTTGTCTTTTTATGCTAGCTTGTATTTTTCAGTTTTCTTCTCTTGTATAATAAATTCATTTACCTACTGAAAATTTAATTCGTTCACTTAATTCACACATAAAATGTCATGGCTAATGAAAAAATTAACAACTTGGTTTGCTATATATGTACATCTTATATGTCACAAAGATGATTAATTTGGTGATGTTGCAGGTGAGTGTTCCATGCAGCAGCTTACTTGACATCGTGACCGTCCGATGCGGACACTGCACCAATCTATGGTCTGTGAACATGGCAGCTGCGTTTCAATCTCTGTCCTGGCAACAACATGTTCAGGTAGCTAGTTACCACCACCAAGATTAATTCTAGTCACAAAATTTCAACTTAATCCATCATACATATAGACTTCAGATTTCTAGGGTTTCTGGGTTTTGAGCCTTTTGAGAAAATCATAAAGTCTTCCCTATTGGGGCTTAAAATATATAGAGTTAGTTACACACACACACACACATATATATATACACACACTGATCGAGTCTTTGAAAAAAAGCAAGGCTTCTCACGTCTGTGAAGAGTACCCTAACAGCCGCCATTACCAAAACCTAAAACTTTTGCAATTTGTAGAGTGTTACAGTAGTTGTATATGCGTCAGGGTCAGGGTCTGTCCTGACCCATCAATGGAAAGCATTTCTAGGTTTTTCTTTTCTGAGGTAGGTTTGTTTTCTTTTTTTCTTTTCTCATGATTAATTTGATGATTTGATAGGTTATGTGTTGGGTGTTGTTTCTTTTAAGTGTTTTTTTTTGTTCATCAGATTTTGTCCTCTATTGTGGAAACACATTATGATAAAATGGCATTTTGGATCTCTCAAATCCATCCTCTCAACAACTGTCCATTCTCTTTCTCTCTGGGTTTTATTTTTCTTTTATTCATTCCTAACTGATTCAGTCACTTCAATGTTTGCTTTTTTTTTTTTTTTTTTTTTTTTTTTTCTCCCTCCCTCACAACCTATCCAGGTAAGTACATACCTATGACCTATCCTAGCCTCTTCTATTATTATTATTTTTTGTTACACTTGTGTTGTCTTTGAGCAGACATTGAGAAAGAAACCGTCTAACCATTTCTGCTACCTTTTTCAAATGTTTATAAATATATATAATGTTTATATATATATAACTTTCTAATTTTTTTTATTTTTTATAATCAGGCACCCAATTTCACTTCCCCGGATTACAGGATTGATTTGGGTTCCTCTTCCAAATGCAAAAACAAGATACCACCAATTACTAATACCACCGAGGAAAGGGTAGTGAATCGACGTGAGTTACTGCTGCCCTAGAAATTATATATGCGGATTCACACCATTTCTTGTATACATATATGTATATATATGTGTGTGCGCGCGCGCACATACTTATGTAAATATATTTTCTTTTGCAGCTCCCGAGAAGAGGCAGCGAGTACCTTCTGCATATAACCAATTCATAAAGTAATGAAACAGCAATCAGTCACTTTGAATATATATATATATATATATATATATATATCTCTCTCTTTATCTATCGTGTAATAATCAAGAGAGTACTGATAAAGAAATGGGGAGCCAAAACTCTCCATTGATATATTCTCTATTTTGTTCAAATTCTTGGTCTTATTTTCTAATTAAAACAAAAAAAATGTGATACGTAGAGAGGAGATCCAGAGGATCAAGGCAAACAATCCAGATATTAGCCACAGAGAGGCATTCAGTACTGCTGCCAAAAATGTATGTGGGAATTAATGCTACAAAATTCAAAACACTTTTTGTTTGTTTGACATTAATATATATATATACACACACACATTTATTGTCAAATATAATTTTTGTGGTTTATGACTTGATGAACTTTTTAAATTTGCTAGTGGGCACACTTCCCTCGTATTCATTTTGGGCTGATGCTGGAGACCAACAACCAAGCTAAACTAGGTAAGTTCTTTATATACTCACTCAGAAATTTGATCTTATCTTTCAGTTTGGTGGTGTTTATTTTGGGTACTGAATAATTATCCATTTTAGAAAGATGGAATCGTATTTAATAATTTTCTTCAAACTTTTTTCTTCCTTTCTTTTTGGGTAATAACTAATAAGGAACAATTTTTCTTCCTTTCTTTTTGGGTAATAACTAATAAGGAACAATTTTTCCTCAAACTTGTATAGCATATGTATATGTGTGTATGTATATATGTATATGTATATCAGTTGGCCATAACCTTAGAGAAACTTTTAATAATCCTCACATGATTAAAGTGCATAATTTGGGGGTATTGCTTATAGTAAATGACAGGTGAAATCTTAATTACACACACACATATTGGGGTGGGGTGCATTGACCTAATGCTTCTCGACTCTCAAGGACGGACTATAGTTGTATGCTAGAGAACTTTTTGGTTGTGCAGTTCAATTGAACTCCATTGCATGTTTTACTTATTTTAGTTTGATTGGATCCTATTTGCTTGTTTCATTTATTTATTTATTATTTTTATATTTATTTTTTTGGGTGAAAAAAGATCAAACATCTGAGTAGGTAATGTAAATGATGTTGGTGAACTCAATTATTTGGTCAAGTAACTTGTGATCAAATATGAATTGTTGCCTAATTAGTTTCTTTCTCGTTCTTGAAGTTTGATTTTCGTGCAGTGCCCTGAGAAACGTTGTCATGCCAAGGGCTAAAAACTATTGAACAAATGATCGAGGGTCTTGAATTTCAACATTAATCTTCATCAGTGACTCCCTCTTCTTGAACTTAAGAAAGCCTCGACTTGATTTGAAATGTTTTAAGGACATAAAACTACATATCCTTTCGTTATTGTATTTGGGACAAGTTGTTTAGAAGATCCATGTTATCAATATTTGTAGTAAGAAGCTACTTTCCTTTGTCACTTTCATCAATCCACCGCTCTCCATTTCAAATGATCGATTGTCTTAAACTTCGTAGTTAATTTAATTTGGCTTCATAGGCTTAGCTAGCTCATCGGATTGTTAAAATGAAATCATAAATCTAATAGATGTCCTAACAGTACTGCTCAAGAAATACTTTGAAAAAATGGAAATTTTTATCAGTTATGGTAGCTTGCTTAAGTTTTTATTGGTACCCATTGTGAGAGAGAAAGAACTCTAAGTGAAAATGTATGGAGTTTCAGATGTGCCTCTTCTGAATGATATCATGGTTATCCAAGCATAATTACTAAATTTTAGCTCATTAAAAACGTCGTTTACTCTTTTCTTTTCTTTTTTCATAAACTAAATGTGTACGTCTGCTCAAATGTATGTATTATGTTGTGTCTATATTGCCTACTTCATATATAGCATCAAGACAAGACATAGAAGATATGAAAACCACATACATTGTTAGTAATGAGAGGTCCTGTACTAGGGTTCTCATTGAATTTTAACTAGTCATTTAGTTCTTAGCAACCGGTGCTCTGATAAATCAGTTCATAGCAATCAAGGGATTCTAGTCACGTGCTTTCTTCATCCAGTGATCATATCAACAAAGTTGAATGTCAAATTGTTTTTAGCTATATCCATATTAGAAATTAGAATAAATAATACAAGCATTGGATCAATCTAAACTCGGAGAATTAGGAATGATACACATTAGCTATACATAGCACCGGTTTTTACGTGACAAAAATTTCTTTGTATATCAAATTTTCTTTGATATGAAAATTGATTTTTTTTTTTTTTTTTTTTTTTTTTTTGTTAAACATGCATGAAAATTGTCAACCACACAAAATTTCATATTTTGTTCTCTTTTTCAACTATGTTGAAAATTGTTTTCAGAAAAATTAATTAAACTACTTTTACACAATTTATCATAACTCAACTCATCAAGATATATCTCTATTTTTTTTTTTTTTTTTTTTAATTCCTTACTCATTAGTTTAAGGCAGATACATCTCCATCAACTACTCTACTGTAAGAAGTTTTTTTTTCAAAAAGTAATAAATATTAGTACACATGTTTAATTGTAAGATAGCATAGTGACAGTCCAAATCTAGAAATGGCTTCCTTGAGAGTATCTCTCTCTGGGATCTTCTTCTCTAAACTTCCATTGGAGCTACAGGGAATAAATCTTCCACAAGGAAGAAGAAGGAGAAGTCATTGGCAAGTGTGACAATGCAATTAGATGTGGCTACATATCATTTTTTTAATCAACTTTGATAAGCTCCATTCAATTATGCAGTTTCACATAGAATTTTGTTGTATATATATATATTTCTGTAAATAAAATATCACCTACAAATTGTTCCTTTCATCATGTGTTTTCACAAAATTAATATATGATATTATGTTCATGTTCATTACCAATTAGCTGAATATATGATCTGAATACAAAAACTGTTCTTTTTTTTTTTCCCCCCTGCAAAAGTAAATATTTAAATATATCAACTTTTGTTGGACAGTAAAGTGAATACATCTAAGAAAAGTTTATTTTTCTGTCAAAAAATAGAGCTTAAAGATAAAGAGCTCAAGGACCACCATTTCTCTTTGGGAATCCCATCTCTGTATTCAGATCCCTCCACCAAGCTAGCCTCGAAGCAATTAGCTAGCAAGCATATCTCTTTTGCAGCTTGCTTCAAATTCTTGTAGCATTTCTTTATTGGAGTTGCAAAAAATCTAATCTGCTTGTAAGTGGTCCAAATCAAATGTTACTGTCTTCACTTTTCAAGTGATCGAATTGAAAGAAAAATAAAATAAAATAACCTTAAAAATATGGTTGTAATGCATAGCTCAATAGGCTATCTGATGCTACAAAAATAGCTCAATAATACCTGTATATGTGTGTGCATGTGTGTGTGTCTGACTCTTAAAAGAGGAATAAGTGACAAGATTGTTATTCATCATATCCTGGTACTTTAGTGCCAGTAATGATCGAGTTGGATTAAGGCATTTAGCCCGTATGAATACTTGATATGCACATATAAAGTTCCAACTAAAATTAATGCTGGTGATACATCTATATGACCCACTAAATTAATTATATTTTTATTTATGTGACGATATATAATTGACAAGAGCAAAGATATGAAAAGTTCTTCATTCACTTTATTGTTAGGATGAACTTGTGTTTGGGTCTCATTTCATCTATCATACTTGGTATAACAGAATGACTTCTCATTCACTTAATTGTTATGGTGGATCCATGTTTAATTGTGTTCCATTTCAATTATGAAACGAATGAGAAAGGTTGGGCTTTCCATTTAGTTGCTACTATTCGATTACGTAATCATCTATCTAAAAGTCACCAGTGAAGTCTTTGTTGTGAAATTGTATAGATGCAAAAAAGAAAACAGTAAAACAAGGAAGGAATGACTGTTGTGTCCTCGGGATCTGCAAATTGGTGGTAAAAGAGTAGTGCGTGTGTAATTTAACAAGTGTTTGATCTTGGAAAAGAAAGATGATAGAAGAATAGTGTGGATTGAATAGAATAAAAAAACTAGTACTAGAATACAAGTGGAAGGGGCGCAGAATCTGAAAAGTCAAATCATGTCTGTTAAGCATTCATTTTAGTTCAAGTCATTTCATGTCTGACAACCCCTCCAATTATTTATGGACACTGTGTCTACATTTCTCACAACACCCCAATCTTATAATGTTCTTCTCTCCTCTATCTCAACCGTACCAGCAGACACCACCCACAACACGCCCTTATCATCAACGTGATAATCTTGTGATTACGGGCCCATGTGGTGATTTTCTTAGTTGAAGGGATAAGTTCTTGCACTCGATTGGAGAACACACACTCAACACATAGGAGTATATATATATATATATATATACACGTATATACATAAGAGAACAGAACTGCGTAACTTTGGAACAGCATGTGATTCCTCTAGGGTCGTGTTCTCCAAATTCTTCCGAAATTATCAGAATAATTACCAATAATCCAAGGATTCGCGCACCTTCATTTAAGTGTGCAAAACGTGTGTGGATGGATTCCTCGGTCACATTATAAGATAGATATATATATATATATATATATGAGTACAGCTATTATGTCTTCAATAAACAGTATCGAGTAAGTACTTACTCTAGCAATCAATAAAACAAAATAAAATAAAGTTTTTTCAACAATTGACACAGTAGTAGTAACAAGTTTTGGATCGGCCAAGTTTGAAAAAACAGATTTGGTTCCGGTTGCACACTTGCACCTCCATAATTAACAAACAATTAGCGGTTTTATGGCACAAGAAACAGCGAGGGACCAATTTCAGAAAATAAGCCCTAATATAAAATTTCTGGTAATGGCTGCTTTACTCCACCAATCTCTCAATGATAGCCACAACACGGATCAATTCTCTAATTAAACATGTAGGATTTGTAGACATAGGGCTATCGATACCATTCATTATTGAAAATGTAAGATGGATCAACATTGATAGGAAAACAGAACACAACACTATTTCTACTCATCAATCTTTTATTTCTCTACTTCCTAAAGCTAAAGTAAGCATGAATCAGTTCCAAGGGTCTTCTTAAAATTGAAATATTCAAATAAATCCCACAAGGAAGCCAAGAAAACACCTAAATGTGCTAACACCATTATAGTTAATAGCAAATCGCATCTTTCCCAACGGACTTGAAAGAAACCCTGCTCTTCTTATCTGATCCAAAGTTGAATTTAAGATCTGCCTGTTCATCATGGGTGGAGGCATTGCTCGTGGAAGGGAACGAGAAAACGAGGGATGGTGTAGATCTCTTACTGCCAAAAGTGTAAGAAGGAACTGCAGGCTCTTCCTTCGGAAGAGGCAAACCACTGGCTGAGAAAGAAGGCATGATGGACGGAGTTGGTGGTTCCGAGAGTACACCAGAAGATGCAGAAACAGGAAAAGTAAACCCACAGCTATTATCTGAAGAAACTGTCCGTCTTGGGTCAGGTTTCTCAACAAAAATACTTGTTAGGTTGACCTTCGTCCGTGAAGAGTAGTGAGACGGAGGCTTCTTTGGTAACTCAGAGCCAGATGAACTGGGGACCACCTTTCCAACATCCTGCCCATTTATTTCATTGTAGAGAGATGGAAGCTTACTCATCTCTTTCTGTTTGCTGTCTGTCAACCCCAGGGAGGTCTTCTGAGATTAAATAAGAAAAAAAATGTAAATGTGAGTCTCTGGTTCAAAGATAGATGCCTGCAAAATAGATTCTCGACAGACCTGTCTATTTCAACCAAATGACATCTCAGGAAAATATTATATCAAATGGAAGAGCTTTGCATCATTTTGATTGTAGGCGCACCATATTGTCTAATTGTATGAAGGAAAGTATAAACACACAGCGGTAAAAGCAAACAAAGCCACTTCTATTAGCTTAAAAAGAATGTAGGATTTGGTACAAAGAAAACCCAAGGGGTTGGCTCAAGCAGGCAAGTCACTTGGCCATGGTGCCTCAAGAAGCATCAGGTCTATAGTTCGACTCCTCTTAGGTGCAAACAATTCCTTGGAGGGGGTGTGTGTGAATACCAACTAGGGGGAAAAAAAGGAAAGATTTGGTACAAAGACAGGAGAAATGTTTCTTGCACTGTAGATACCAAGCAGAACAAGCAATTAGGACCATTTCTTATCTCTACTTTTCCATAGGTCCAAAACCAGCCCTAAAGAACATCTACATGTGCAACAGCACGATTGGATGCAAGCAATTTGCTGATATGTACATAATACAACATAACTTTTGGCAATTTGACCCGCCCCTAATAGGACTTAAATGTAACGGGCAGTATTGGGTTACAGAATTTGAACCTGATCCAGGTTCGGGTGAGTATTCTACCCCACCCCGATTATGTAGCGAAATTATGTCTATACCCTTAACAAATTCTATATTTCCTGTTACCCTTGTGTATTTATCTTTTGCCAAACAACCCCCACCCACCCCCCCCCCCCCCCCCCCCCCCAAACAACAAACACAATAAAATAAATAAATAAATAACTAGCCCGCTGCCCTGCCTCCAGCAACGAACCCTCTGCCAGTGGCTCTACAAGATCCCCTCCCCACCTCTCTCTCAAGTGAAATGGATCAGAAGTTCAAACCCTTCCCAGGTTTGGGACTGGTACAGGACCAAGTATCATCTGATTAATGCCTACTCCTAAACCTAAATGGAATGAGTGAACGACGTGGGGATTCATATGCAAACATAGAATCTATTTCAATATGCTCGAATGACCCCCTCATATAATGAGAATGTATATAACCCTATTCCGGTCTGGTCCGGTATGGAATGAATTTATAATCATGGAATCGACACGATCATTAGATTATAAATAATACTTTTAGCTCATTCCTATTTTGGGCAAAACAGATCTAGTAATTCTTTGATCCCAGATAGTAAGAGGGATCTTGAACTACGAAGCAGACCATCGAAGCTAAAAAAAGGATATCTTGAGCAATTGCAATAATCGGGTTCATTGATATTCCTGGTATAGTAGATGCGCTATCACACATACAATCGTATTCAATTCGATGGAATTCTTACATCTTAGAGAGATCTTCTATAATTTCACACAATAAGGGTTATTTCTTGGTTCATTATGCACTTGTTACACAACCCCTTAGAGGAAGGGCCGAGCAAGGGAGACAACGGGAAATGGAGATTTGGACATATTTATTTCTACCATACTATCTATCAGTGTTATTGTAGTGTATAAAATTGTGCTCTAGAAAAAAAAGATGCGGGATTCATACAGATCACTTCATAATCTTAACCTCTAATCTAAGGCTTTAGAAAGGTGAAGTATTTTGATGGAATTTAATCAAATTCTTTTAGGCAAGAGTTTATCCCACTAATTTAATTGAGCACATAACATCACCAAGCAGCAATTAGCATCTAATAGGGACCTTTCTGACAATTAACCACGGATTATTTATTTATCCTACTACAGATAGACAGAGAACAAGCACATGAACATAAATACACTAATGGCATTCTCTGCCTAAGATGCAATTTAAGTGAGTATTCACAGTATCCAAGCGAGTCAGGGTATTGACTTTATTGGTTCACCTGGGTGGTTGCCAATGCCCAATTATCATCAACAAAGATTACAGGTCATAACTACCATGTGTTGCTCTTCCACCCACCAATAAATGCATAAATAAATTGAAGTAAAGAAAAATTCAGATAAAAGTAATTAAAAAATAAAGTTTTTAGAATTACAATCAGGTCAAGACTCAAGAGGTAAAACAAAATTTAGAATCATGTGTAACAGGTTACAAATGAGAGAGGGTATCAGTACCCGTCCAAGTTGTACTTTTCATTCAATAAAAACAAAAAAATCATAGCAGTCGCTCAACAAAATGCCAACCTTAATAAATGCCTCACACACACACTCATCATAAAACTAAGTTGTATAACATAGAAAACTAACAACTAACATATTTTAAAACTAAGTTGTGGACACGCACACACACATGCAGAGAGATTAATTTTCTTTCCATATTATCACATAAAACTAAGTTGTGGACAGTATAGATATTAACATATTTTTCCTATTTTTGTCATTGTAACAGATCCATAACAACTGCTTGGTCAAATAGTAAACTTAGGGCATTCCAAAAATGTTGAAAGCACATTAAGCTACAAGCCTAATACCGTAGTTTACTGCAACATTAAACATGAGTAATAGTAGGCCACAATATGACATCATATAAGCTCATACATACACAAAGTAATCGACAAAATATAATTTAGTAAATAAATGACAAGATAGCAGACAATTAAATGCATACCTTAGGACAATAAGATGACAAGTATACATGCCATATGATGTATAATTTGAAAAAAGAAATTCGTTTTTTGGTACAGTGATGGCATTACAAAGATTAAGCTCTGAGAAACTAAAAATCATTATAAAATGGCCAAAATTTCACAAGTTAAGCATATATCTCCTGTCAATGTTAAAAAAATATTTTTCAAACTGCTATTTTAAGAAATTTACATAATATTTCCAGGTGTGAGCAAATCACATTTAAAATATATAATTTTAAGTTTTAATAAAGAAATCTGTTATTGGAGTTTTATTTCTATTAGCATAGCAACCCATTCTCCTGTAACGTAAAAATAATTATAGCTTATTAAAGCATAAAGTTGTTTCACTCTATGCATTAAAATACATATCAGTGTCAGCATTACGTCAATGTTGGTCCAAGGCTTGCCACAATAACCTGAAGCATTACTTTTCGTATAATTAGACTATCAAGTAAAACCCAGACAAGTTCATGCTGACATCAATATGTTGGGGTAACTTAGCAAGTAGCAACTGTTACTCACCATGTACTGATGTGTTGACCACTCTATAAAGAGAGAAGAATGAAAAAGATCATTCATTTGCATAAGAAAAATGGCTTTTCAGAATGGATAAAATACCTCATGTGCACTCTTGATTCGAGAATCATTAGTTCTGATTAAGTCAACTGAAGGTCCAGAATCACACTCGCGTATCGAACTAGTGGTACCATCAATGACTCTGCTGGAAGCCTTGCCTTTATTTAAGTTATCAGTAGCTTCACTAGTATCTCTCTCCTGAGGTTTTTCTTTGAAAATTGAGTTCTCACTGTCGAAGTTTGCTTGCGCAGAAACTTTCTGGTCAGCTAAATCTGAACTTCTACGTGAGGCAAATCCTTGTAAAGGCTGAAAGCTGGTATGTTCTGTGACATCAGCCACTTCAGAAGATGAATGTTTCTTCCATGCAGTGGCTAGCTTCAACTCAGCAGACTTTTCTTGAGCTGTGGGCTGGTTTCTATTAAGGTGCTCCAATATTGTTCTAACCGCCTGCCCAGATGATGGCAGAAAATCTGGGACACCCATTTCAGAACTGCGTGCCTTCTTGGCTATTGACTGAAATTCAGAATTACTGCTTTTTGCTCCAGGTTCCAAGTTCTTTGTAGCAGGCAAGAGACCTCTAGAAACACTGGAATTTTCCACTTGAGAAGGACCAGTTTGGGAAGAATTAAAAGCAGCAGATCCTCTGGGCGGAGCTTCTGAAACAACCTTATGCCGCATACGCCGAATAGGTCCCACTGAGCCATAGCCATCATTCAACACATCGTTCCTTGACTTCACCAATGTATTAAAAAAATAGAGAAGTCAATTTACATGTCATGAATGGTCTATAACAATACCATATGGGCCAACAGTATAATATTCTTTCAGAAATTATCACCAAATATTTGTTACCAAGTTCCAGATACAAGTCACATAAGCAACCAACAAGCCCAAACATGAATTCATTATGTTTTACAAGCTGCAATAATTTTATGGTATATATCACACACATGTACCCACTAACAAATTTAAGAATTTCTCGTGTTCATTTATAATCACCAACAGGTTTGCTCCTAAAATATAAAAAATGCTATCCAGCAACTGACATTAAATATTATACACTCACATGTTAACTCACAAACCAGACATGATGAGAGAGAGAGAGAGAGACCCGAGTTACATTTTGAGCCAAAACAGTAATGACCTTGCTTTCTGCTTTCTTTGCTTAAATACACCACAACGTGGCAAATTAATATAAAGAAGCATGGATTTGGAAAGGAAAAAAGTCCATCCCATTGTGATCAGTGGCACTAAACAATAAAACAAATAGACGTATTCAAACATGTCAATCCTAGAGAAAACAAATCCACCACATTCATGGAGGAAATTCCTTTGCCATTTCTCTTAGGTATGTTGACTTATTTTATTTATAAGCCTAATACCTAGGAACTAATTATCAAAATGATGACATTGGCATCATGGGGTTGATCCAATTAAACCTAGTTTTATGGATGGATTAAGTGATTGACCCAAGGGCCAAGACATGCTGTAATATGACCAATGTTGCATCCTTAAGGCGTTTGGATGATCTCTCTTGGCTGTGGAGTCATTTGGCTTCTACACTCTTAGGCTTCAAGGATTTCTTATCCTTCACTGCCTTCTACAACCTTAGTCCAATAACATTTCCCGCTTTCCATAAAAGAGGAAATGGTCAATTCTAAGTGACAGTCCTTAAAGCAAACATCTGATAGAAAATTAACAATAATAAGAGGAGTTGGTATAAAACCTATTCAGGCAATATATTCTTTTACCATGAAATGAGATAAGTATTTAAAAGGTATATGTTTTCCCTCCTCGTACAAAGACTGACCTATATAAAAGGTTTTGCTATTATGATAGTATATTATGCTTTAGCCAATAACATACCACAAAAGATTATGCATGAATAAATCACCAAAAAAAAAAAAAAAAAAAAAAAGCTTTAAGGAAAGGCATAGAAACGATCTCTCTCTATGAACATCTCTTAAGACAATGACTCTTCTTACAGATGGACCTCTACATGACCCAATTCATGCAAATATGGAAAAGGCACCATCCCTTTGAAATAAGGGCAGTCGATAAGAAGTTCAATATCCTCTGAATCAGATTGTAAAAAGCTAGCCATATTATCCAGTTCTTAGAGATTATTCTAAATAATCGCTCATAAATAAGTTCATATCAAGTCGAAGAGAAGTAGAAGTAAGAAAAACAAAATGCCAAATCACAATGTATGAATAACTCAAGAACTTGGAAGTTTTACTGCCTTTGAATAATAGCAGACACCATAACTAAAATAGTACAAATTACAAGTAAATGTCTCTGAAACTCAAACCGAACTTAAAGAACTCTTTTAGGAGCATCATATAGAAGGAGGGCAAAAATCATTACCAATGCATACACCTGTACTGGACCTGTAAAATTAAACGTACCTGTCCAAAGATGGGAGTTCGAGATTGCCGCAAGGGAGTTGATGAAATGCTTAGGTGCCTATTCTCAACTGCTTGTAATGGAGTTAGCTGAGAACATGACCACAAAAATAAATAAATAAATAAAATAAGAGAGAGAGAGAGAGAGAGAGAGAGAGAGAGAGAGAGAGAGAGAATCATCCCATATTCAAACCAATATATATATATATATATATATATATATACACACCAATTGCTGCATTACCTTGGACTTGGACTTCGAATAAATTGTTCTAGAATATGGCGATCTAGGAAAATTATGAATACCAGATCTGCCTCTTTGATTTTGTGGAGTTAAATAACCACGCTGATCATGTAACATGGCACCAGGCCAACACACAGTTGACTTAAGTGAAGGTGATGGAATAAATGGCGTTGATGCAAATTCTTCACTCCGTACTTCTGATGCTTGACTTGCCATATAAGCTTTCGCTAAATCCACTGGTGAAGCACCAACTTCATCTAGCACCTGTGAAATTTTGTACAACTATTAAATTTTCTAATACCAAAACCTAGTGAATATAAGTTTAAGGATCAAATGCAAGAAAAAGAAGTTTTAATTACATTCTTAGGGCCTTTCTAAGATTCTTTTGCCTCTTCTACAAAGATATGTTCTCCCAAACACATCTAAAAATGGCTGTTAATATTGCAATCCACGAAGTTCAACATAATGGTACTTAATCTCATGAATCATAAAACGTTTTAATTTGTACGTAGAAATGACAAGTCGGTAGAATCAAGGAGTGAGATGGCAAGTTGACTTGTGCTATCCTAACAAAACTAGCGGTTCATATTCATGACTCTTTTGGGCTCTTCAAGCAAATAAGCCCATTAACAGGTAGCGAGGTCCAAACTAAACTTAAAATCACGAGCAAGGGCCTGATTCACCTTTATCATTTTTGACTGGCTGTCATTTCACACTCAAAATTCCAAGGAACCCCATTTTAAGTAAAATCTTTTTATTCTAAAGTTCCCGTCGTCATCGAATAACCTCCAGCAATTAGACTATCCTTGACTTTCGCCCTGTTCTTCATTCTCCAGTAGTTTGCCCAAACTATACACGACTATTCTCCCTCTTATCTTGCAATCATATATTTTTCCATCTTGAGCTACTATAGTTGACCTCTAGCTATAATAATTATCCATTTTTTTTTTGCTCCTTAGATGTTGTATCTTCTTTTATAACAAACAGGTTTTTTCCTAGTTTTTCTTAAGTGTTAAATATGGCTTTAGAGTCTTTACTCTTGGTCTTTATGACACCAGATGACAAGGGCATCGCAATGACCTCAAAGACCAATGTCAATAACACTTCACAGGACATCACAAATTCACGCCCAAATGTAGGGGCATTGCGCAGTTATGGGCATAGGTGACACACTTGCCAGTTGCTAGTGGCATTTTCTGTATGTATGTAGGATTTTGAAATTCATACTTGTGAGAGTATTGTTAGAAAATCGTGATAGTTATCTATATGTCACTAAAAGACAACAATACATGTGTGAATTGAAAATGTGTATAATTAGTTGGGTTTATGCTGCCTCGAGCATGGGTGTCATTTCCTTCTAACAGATTACTACTTTTTGCTTTTGTATATGAAGCCATTGTGCACTTTTACCACTACTGTCAAGGTGGGGCAGTAAGTGGGCAACCTGAAAGGAACCTAGGATGAACACAATACATCCACAATGGTTGTTAAAATTCCCCAAAAGTGGGAAGACCTTGCCCTATGGATGACACTGTTGGAGAATCACGAGTGACTACAATTGCACAGCATTCCGACAAGAGGCTTCAATGTGCATTCCTATGTGAAAACAGATGTTATTTACGCGCATATTACAGCATATTAATATTTAGTAAAGAATTTTAATTTTTACTGCAATACAGAATATTGAAAATCCAAAGCTGAATGCAGGATATAATACATAGTTCGAGACATTTTCAAAATTGAATATTTCAAAAAAAGAAATAACTCACTAGACATAAAGAAATAATTTACAGGGCAAGATCGTGGTAACAACATACTTACAGTCGTTCGCAGAAGAGGTGTTGAGGTTCCCACTGCATGTCTCTTTAAATCTTCCTGATTTTTCTCAATTGAAAACATTGGATTTTCATGGGCAATTGCAGTCCGTTCAGCTTCTCCTCCAGTAGTCATGCTTGGAGTCCTTTTATTCTGCTCAATATTAGAAGGATCAAGAACCCTAGAATTTAATATCTCTGTCAAATGATCAATCTCCTCCCTGCAAAGCATTGGAGACCATTTAGACAGCAGGTTTAACAAAGAAAGATATGAATGCATGTTCTTACATGTATCACAATATATATATATGCAACGGAAAACATTTGGCAACTTAATAAAAAGCTTAAATTTTAGTGGTATCACTGACATAAGTTGGGGTAAAACTAACATTATATTGCTTCAAGGACTATAAACATGCTTCTTTATTGCAGGGAAAAAGAATAGTTTCTGTATAATAAATTTTAATATTCACAGAAGGCCATCCAAATGTATCTCTATTGAATCTCTGGAGCAATAAAATTACTGAAAAATGCTGTAAAGAAGCTTAAATAGAAAATACCATAAAGTCAAAATTACAAGTGGCAATAAAAGAAACCGAGAGTATTGATGACCATAATATACCTGGAAAATATTTTTCCTTTCATCAGCTGCTCAATTTTAGAAAACTCATTCTCATCAGATAAATTGCTTATTTTTTCCCGTCCAAGCTCATCAAAGTCGGAATTGTTATTTAAGTTATCTGCTGCTGATATGATAGGACCCAAAACTCCAGTAGAGTTGGATACTCCGACCTGCATGAATATATTATCAATAAGTCTAATATAGGCAACTTAAGGGGAAACAAAAAACTCAAAAACAAGCCCAAATACAACTTCTCACCCTTAAAACACTATTTAAAGTTCAAATATATCCCAGAGTAAAAGATAGTGCTTTTTTTGTAAATTGAAAACTATCAATGCAAAAATAATGACGTTGCTCGCAGGAAAAATGATAACAGTTAGATCATTTGCATCAGAAGCTAAAAGAAAACCAGATTATTCTAAACAAAACATAAAAACAACATTGAAGAGAGGATTAAAACGAGAAAGATCAAATACATACATATAGGATGATCCAATGGGTCTGACATGGAAAAATGCATGTGATTTAAAATTTTATCAGATAATACATGCAATTGACATCCTAGTCTCCACTGTCTCCTAGACATGAAACCCGGTTTTGATATTAAAATTGTTGAGATTTCCCCTCCAACAAAGTAGAGAATTTCATGATAATAATGCCAAGTCTCATAAAAAAATACATCTACAAGATAAAACAGTAAAGGAGTTCTTGAAAGACGTGAGAAAGCACAACTATAACAATAAATGAACAACTCACATTTAAAGTGCATTGTTTACCATCATCATCATTATTAAACTCTTCTTTTTCACACGTGCCCCACTTATCTGTTTCAGAGAAAACTAAACAATTAGAAGATGAAAAATAGATAACGAAGCAGAAAATTACTCGAGAGATAAGGTTAAATACATGAAAGAGAACATGAATGTTTTATAATAAATAAAAACGGCTGAAAAGCAAACTTGAAAAAGAATAAAAGTAGCAGATTCCAGAAATCTTGAATGTGGCTCTAGTGGATAATAAGGTGGTGGAAGACTGAGAGCAGAACAACAATGAATGAATCATCTTCAAGGCTGATTTTTTTTTAATCTTTTTGGATAAGTACATTCGAACTTGATCGTGGGAAAGTTTAAGATAATGAGAACAGGTGCTGCCTTGAAACAAAGAATCTTGCCATCATTGTCAAGGAGCAGACTAAATCTCAATTGCTTATAAACTTGTCTTGCTGTTTATAAATGTCAGCCTAATATGACAAGTTAATATCTTGCTGCAATTAAATGAAAGTTGAAGTATTAGCAAATTTCTCATGATGTAGTAGTATTTTGTGGACAGTCAATGCATTCTAAACTTCTCAAGCCATAATCTATATTTAAGGAACTATCCAACACTTCCTTTCTTTCATTTTTTTCTGAAATCAATAACTAGATTTCAACAACAATAAAATTTTGAGTGTTACTAGTTTAAATTTATATATCAAAAGATCTCCACAAGGCTCAAAGGACAGCTTTATAATAAGTATTCAAGCACCTTTCCCCAACTGAGTTCAGCTGCTCATACCATTCTCTTTAAAATGGTCAGGTCATTCTCTCAAAATTCATACTTCACTAAGGTAAAATGAAAAATAAAAAAAAAAGAGTGCTCCCGGGTGCTATAAGAGGGGTGATTTTGATGTCCCGCATCATCTTGGGGGAAGAGAAGTTCCTGGCATTTATATCTGTGGGCACCACTTAACCCTGTAGACGCGTATTGAGCAAAACCGTGAGCACAGAGAGGAGAGTGTGCAAAGCGGACAATATCTACATGGGTTGGGCGGGTCATGACAGATGGTATGAAAGCCGATCCCCACCCAAATATGTGGGAGCATGTACAAGCCCATGTGGGTCAGCCAGCGAGGATGCTAGGTCCCAAGAGGGGTGATTGTGACATCCCATAGGGGGAGAAGTTCCTGACATTTATGTGTGTGGCCTCCCCTTAACAGTTTTGAGCAAAACCAAGAGTAGAGTGCAAAGCGGGCAATATCTAAATGGTTTGGGCAGGTCGTGACAGACGTGCCACATTATAAGCTTTTTTTTCCTAAGTAAGATATTATTAAGAAACAAGCACAAGCTACAACAGTAGCTAGGGCATTCCTCAGAGCACACAGGGATTAAGAATACCCACTCCTACCTCATTATAACTTTTCTCCTCTTTTAGTCTCATCCACTTATTTGGACTATTTGACAACTTATCCAACTAAGTGTGCTTGATACTTCAATTTGAATATCACTTTAAAAGGTAAGCATGGGGTAAAATTTTAAGAACCATGGACTTCACATCACATGAATGCTGAGCTCTTAAATTCAAAAGGATATTAAAAACATATTTATTTTTAATTACTACTTATAAACTTCTAACACTTAAAATTCTGTTCTTTAAAATTTCCAGTACTTAAAAGAAAACAATAACACATTCAAGAAAACAATAATAATACAAACAAAGGGGTAGTAGTTAGGTCAGAATTTCGAATCCCAAATCACTTGGAATGCCAAAATCTACATGTAAAGGTAAGCAAAATATGCAATGTGAAGCTATATAATATATATCACTGACCTTGATCTTGGGGCGGGTTGGCGGTAGAAGGCGATTTGGAGAAGAAAGACGGAAACATTTTGGTGGCGCCACCGGCGATGAGGCGGCAAGCAGGATCAACGAGCTTCGACAACCAACCGCCGTCGCGTCGCTCGGCAAGGGTTTGGGATTGATTCGCAGGCGGACGGTCGTACGGAGTCGCCGGCGGCTTCCGTGCCGGTGGCTTCCGGAACTTCCCGCCGGCGCCTCTTTCTCCTCCATAGAGCCCTGACGACGACGGCGTCGCTTGTTCCCTCTCCATCTCTCTCTAGAAACACGCACTCAATGTAACTCCTTTTTTCTTAGAGTGAAGCGCTTTTCGTTTGTTCACTTTTTGGCTTTTAGCCCTATATTGACAAACTCTCTCCCTCTATGTGATGATAGGAACTGTGTTGGGTTGAATTATAGTTTGACAGAGATTCAACCATTTTAGATAAATGACCCACCACTTAACAAGGCCACGTGGTCAATATTTTGTAGCGGACTCCAACAAATAGAGTCCACCAACACTCTTTGTTAATTGCAGCTCTAATAGTGTTTCTATCAGTTACAAAAACAAATTTGATTTTGTGCGATTCAACAATTATTTCTCTTACCAATTTCATATTACTTGGTACAAAAATCGTTATTAAGATCCAGGGCATTGAATATAAAGTTGACAAATCTTAAACAAAATTATGTCCGAATTCAAAACATTAATTCTAAATTGAGAAATGATAAATCTTCTAAATTTGAAAGTTCAGAATTACATATATATATATATATATATATATATATATATTCATCTAAAAAGATTTTAAAATATTTATTGTATTGTTAAAATTGTAACCTACTCCTTAAAAAACCTATATGTAATTATTACATTTCCACATGATTTATTATTAGTTTTGAACCGTAATTAATCCTAAGTTACCACATCATTAAAAGTTGATAACTAAATTACCAAAAAATGTTAATTTGAATGTTGACTTCTCCATCTAGCACGTAGGTGATACAAGCTGAGGGTTCAAATTTCAACCGGGGCAAAGTGAGTATATTCTGTGCCTTTTTTTCTTACTAAAAATCGAACGGACTTGAAGCCTTTAATCAGGTAAAATATTGGGAAAACTACACATAGGTAAAATTAGGAGCCATAAATAACAAATTGATCAGTTTTAAAAGTTAATTTTCTATTTTAATTGGATTAAGCATAATAATTACAAATACATCAATATTTATTGCTCAGGTCTAAAATATCCTCACAATCTTATTTCAAAATCCCAAAATATCCTACTTAAAATTATATAATTTCAATATAATAAAATAAATAATTAAATACTAGTTTGACCAGCGAATACTAATTCTCTATCACTTACTTTCATCGTCAATCAACCACCAATGTCCAGGGCATTATCCACTTCGTAAGTCTTCTAGGTCCCCCTCCCTCTCTCTCTTCACACCACATATAAATATAAATATGTCATATTTTTGTTCAAGAGTCTCAGATCTAGGACTCTGTAGGCTTTAGAAGTATGTTATATCTTATGAATTTAGGGTTATTGCAGAAGATTATCAATTTTTATAATTGATTGAAGAAGGAACAACAACTAGAGACATCTGAACAAGAAAAAAGAAATGCAAGTGGATATTTCAGTTACCTACTGCTAGGATATGAAATCCTTAATAAATCCCGTTTTGACATCTTCTAATATATTAACAATAATAATAGTTTTTTTAGGTAACAATTGAAAAATCTTCTATGTGATATACTATTACTTCCATAGTAAACTTGTAGAGCTTCCCTTTTCAATTCTTACCTTTCAGATCAGATGATATCAATTCCAAAGGATAATCCAATGGCGATGGACGATGAAGAGAAGAGATGGAGAATTTTTATTTGCTAGTTAAACTAAATTTTAATTATTTATTTTAATATTTGAAATTAGATAATTTTAAGAAGGATATTTTTGTATTTTGTAATAACAGTGTGAGGCCATTTTGGACCTTAGTAATAATTTTTGATGCATTTGTAATTATTTTATTTAATTCAATCAATGTAAAAAATTAACTTTTAAAATTGATCAATTTGTTATTTAAAGCTTTAAATAGTACTTATATGTAGTTTTCCCTAAAATATTTTCCTTCTATAGTCAATGCAGAAAAATAGAGTTCTCTTATTGTTTTTGTTTTTTCTGAACAAGGAAGGGGGAAGGGGGAAGGGAGACTCAAACACGGATAACGACGAGGGAAGATTCAACAATTTTCCAAGGGACATTTGAGAAGTGAAATAGGCAGTTAAAGTGAGAAGACAATGCAGGAAAGTTGAGCTTGGGAGTTTATCTGGATAACAAACAATCAGAAAAGTAGAAACACCTCTAATCTGTCACAAACCATGAACAGGCGAACATTATGAACCACAAGTAAAACAGGCCATAATCATAACTTCCTCTTCTCATCAAGACAAAGTGACAAACTGGAATTGACACTACGCAGATGCAATGCACATTTATCAGTTACGATTGCTGCTGCCTTGATTGCACAGAAGTAGCGTGTTGCAACTCTAGCTCCGTGAAGCAAGGCTCGTGCTCACCATGGGCCTGAGTTTGCCCTGCCTCCTGCTTCATACCTCCGTGTTCTACATGTTGGGTACGAGTTGTGGCATTTTATTTCTCCGTTGAACAATAAATACAGGTTTCTCAGCAGGAAGTTCCGGTAAAGATTTTCGTAGTGGCTTCTCAAGTGCCAAGGAGCCTAACCTTTCGAAATACATCTCGGGGTGACTCTCATCTAGACTCAAGACCGCTCTACCAAGAGTTGTGCAGTTCCAGCTGCCCTACATTGGAGAATTTGCTCTTGTTGGCTGTACCTACAAATAAAGGATATTAAGATGAGAAGGTAAAATCTAAAGCTAAAACAAGTTTAAGTACATTGCAAGATATACAGAATACAACCCAAAGGAAAGCTCAATCAGTTGGACTCAGATTTCAGGGGAGACTCAACTAAATAAACTTGTCATTCTGTTGCAAGACCAATTATTTTGTTGTTAGACGAAAATCCATCATCAACGAGTCTTTGTGATCTTATCAACTGAAACATGGTGCAAAGGCATCATATGTGAGTATGTGACCTTTGTGTTTTTGTTTTTCTTTTTGTTGCCTCGTTTTTTTAGGATCAAAAATGAAGTTTTATCCTCGAAAAGAGAGAGAGTGTGTTGAGTCAAAATTTGGAAACAATACTACCGTCATAATATCATCTGACATTCCAGGCAACCACCAGGATTAGACAAGAAAGCTAGGATACATAACATCTGATACAACCATACAGTTAATACCCCTCTTCTTGACATTTAAAGTCCACCGGAGAAGAGTTAAATGCTCTTGAGATATTAATTGGGAGCACAAAAATGTTGGGACACAACATTATTAAGTGCCAATTATAGCTCAAAGAGATGGTGCCTTCCTTTACATTTGCTCCTACTCACTTGTTCACCTCGACCACTGATTAATTTATCTCCAACAGGTAGATGCAGTTCATGCCATCAAAATGGAGCACTATATCTTGAGACAGTATTAGATTCAAATCAAAGAAAAGTTAACAAAAAAATAAAAAACAGAGCCATGAAACAGTGTTGTGCGTCTATCAATTGTGTCATTGGTATCTAGTGATTATAGCTATCAAAACACATAAAAACAGTAGCAAACTGAAGGAAGAATATACAATGAGGAAAAGAAGGAGAGAGACACAAATGGAAGATAGGTAATATAATGATAACCTGCTTCAATATCATGTTCAATGTGTAAATAACAATAATTCTATTTACTTATCAAAAAAATATCATGTTCAAGGTGTCAAAAAATAGCGAATAGAGAAGAAGAGAGGAAAAGAAGAGAAAAGGAATTAACAGCAAGTTAAAGCCTTAACCAAGAGAGAAGTTAATTAACCCTGCCAACGTATTTATTAAAAAAAATCTCCTCACATTTTGATGGTGTAATTAAGTAGATAAGACAAGAGAGTCCCATTAGATTAAAAGGGAAACCAGTACAAGTCATATTTGCCATTGAACTACATATAAATTGGACTAAGTCAAATTTATTTTAATGAGATTTCAACTATCTCGTACACACAGAAAAGAGAACCTAAAGAGCTGAACTAAACAGAAACGGTTAAGATTATAAACTATACATTAGCAAGGTCAGGGACCCGAAGATCAATAACAAGTAAGGAAGTACAAAGTCCTTGACTTTACCCAGACAATTGGAAAGTGAAACATATGTTGCATATCATACGAGGAAACGGGGAGAAACCTAGCAATGAGTTCCATATACGATAAGGCTACCATGAAAGAAAAGACCTACTGCAGCATCTAAATTAAGAAAAGACCAAACAGCTTCATGTTAAAATTATAATTGTGGTTTCTTGGATATTAGAGATTGCAACCATAAGATTATGAACTCGAAAGAAGAAATGTTACCACAACTTTGCATGGTTTCAACAGAATATTTCTTCCTAGTGCCAAGTATCCACCAGAAGAGATGGCATCGCTAAGTTTAATGAGATATCACAACTTCTAAGTTTAGAACAACGTGGGGGTCCTCAACTTGCAAGACAATACTAATAATCCCAAGTTCAAAATTTTATAGGAAACTCGGTGAACAAGGATACAGGAAAACCATGAATCAATAGAAATAAAAAAAACTTCGTGCATATGGAAAAATTATCCCCAAAGCATTATCAAACAAACAAAATGTATGTATGCAGCGAAACCGACATTCATTTTAGGTTTCCAAAAACTTGGATAGACTTCACGCCGAACCATATGAACAGGAGATCAGGAAAAAGACCAAGTAGGCAAGTTGTCAACAGCAATCCTAAAATCGAAGGTTATTGATTTCAGAACACAAAGCCTGCTTGGTTCAATTTCTGAAAACTGAAAATCAGAAAACTGCGCAAAATTCTTCTTGTTTGACAGTTTTCGAGAACTGTTTTATTAAAACTCAGTTAAAAAAAAAGACCTGTTTTTGGAGAACTGTCTTTTTTAGTTCTCTGAAAACAGTTTTCTGTTTTTGAGAACTGTTTTGTGAGTGACAATCCAAGCAGGCCAAAACATTCCAACATGACATCAGATTTACCCAGTTGATATATCTGATCAGCATTTAAGAAGGCAAGAAATAAACTTTGGAAGCATGAAACTCTTCTCTTGAAGATCTATCGAGCAAAGAAAAAAATTCAGTAGCAAAACTCAACACCAATTTGGATCGTTAAGTGTTTAAATAAACCATTATGCTGACAACTCAAGCTGGGACAATAATAGATCAAGTAGTTGACAGCATGCTATCATGACAATCATCAAGATAAGACGGTGATTTTAGGAGCCATGCCAGTGCAAAAATTATAGTCGAGAAA